TTCATAGAATTACATGGGCTTATTTTGGAAATTTCTTCTGACGGTTAAACATTGTTATGGTGCATCCATTGAGGACTAAGCTTATCCACATGAGATTTCATGTAAATTCAGAAACTAGACAATTTAAAAATAAAAATTCACCTCTTAGAAATGAGGAATGTCTTCACAAATTACTTTATATTAGTTGTTGACCATAGAGTACCATCCATACAGCCATCAATAATGGGAAAAAATAATTAATTTTTTGAATAGGAATATGTTATTGAGCACAAATTATATGACTAAAAATTAAGCAAGATGGTAGACATGACAGTGAGTGTAAAGCAGCCCTGCACAATGTTTAGTGGCAACCTCTACCAGCCCCTGGTAAGATGAGGGGCAGATGGGCAGGCGTGCCGCAGGGGACCCCCACCTGGGAGCTGCAAGGGCCTAGTGTAGCTGAGAGGCCCACATGTCCAAGGTGGGACACAGGAGAGGGCCCAGCGCTGAGGAGGGGACTGGTGCTAGTGGTGGTGGCCGTGAAGAGGCGGTGTTGGTGGAAGGGCTCTTTGGGACCGTTGAGCCGCTGGAGGTGGGCTAACGTTTGCTGACGTGCGGAGGCCATCTTGGCCTGATGCCGGCGCAGCTGAATGAGGAGCAGAGTGAGCTCCTCCGGCTGTCACAGGCACCACAGGACATTCAATCTGGCAAATCTCAATACTGACCACACAAGTTTGAGTAAAACTTCTCCTCTCACAAACAAGCAACTCTGTCTTCACAGCGCTAGGAGCCAATTTGTTATGCGACTGGCTGACGACTAATTTGAACAAGCAGAACTGCAGCTAAAGTAAGGAGGATTAATGGGTTGAAAAATAAGGCAGGCACACAGCAACATAGTGTACATGACAGGATATAAAGCCCCCCCCCATTCTATTTTAAGTAATATAAATGTCTACACAAAGTCAACTGCAGTACACTTGTGTGTTAGTGTATTTATTGGTAAAACATACCGTTTTGCCATGAAGGCTGGGTGCACTGACTGTGTGTGTGATGTAGCCAGATGCAGGCATTGACCGTCTCTCAATAGTAGCAGCCTACAACACACAGACAACATGTTAATACTGACTGTTTGACGAGGTAATATAACAGTTGTGTGGTATATACTTGCTACAGAGTCAATATGGTCTCACTACAGACCTGCTATAACAGCATAACAACAGCAAGTTCCAAAAAAGGCTTCAAATCTTGTTTTAGAAGATACAACATTTAATTTAACTTTGATAGGAAAATACTGAAATGCTTGTTATCTGGGGGCAAAATGAATTTGCCTGTGTATGTGGGAGAGTGGGCGTGAATTTGCATAATTTTTCACTCAGTGTTGAAAGTGCTGTGTTTAGATACAGATGGACAACTGCTTATTTTTATCTGTTTGCATTATTTATTCATTTGCACACCATAATGTATTTAATATAGTATGTACACATTCTGAGTGTTTTTCTGACTGACTGTGGATACAGCTGAGGTAATCTAACAGACAGCTATGTCTTCCATTGTACCCCAAAGGCACTAAAACAATTATTCTGTTCACTGAAGCACATTTCCAACATAAACCCCACACCGTCAGAATGACTGACACTGTTCTGGATGAGAAACTATTCTATTTGATATGTTGCACTTAACGGTGGAAAAAAGCGGTAATATTGCAATCTCTGGAGTAGCACACACAGTAGCAAGATTAAATTCACACAATCAATGCAACAGAGTGTCACGACAACAGGCAGGGAATCATGTACTATTGGCATTCATACTTTAATTATATCAAATAATTTCTCATAAATTAGACCTCTGTGTCCCTATTCTTACATTACTACTTTTTTGTTTAAATAGTGTGGATGCAGGAATAAGGATTTACTACCATTAATCATCCTGAGCTGATGCATATAAGAGTGTGAGCTACATGCTTAAAATGTAAATATGATATCAAAGACACAGGCTTTACCCACTTATATAAAAATGTTATCTTATTCCCTTGATTGAGAATGGCCTAATGAAGTTGCAAATCAACACTTCTCTGTACACAGTAAGCACAACAGAAATCAAAATCATCCCTTCGCCCAGAAAAAGCTGAACTCCATTGTTAGCACTATATTTTTCTCTTCCATGTTTGGATGAAACATGAAACCTCAAACCCTAACAAGACAAAGTTACCAGGACCTATTTTCACATCACTTGGACAGTAAAAGACAGTGATGTAGCAGTGTTGTTCTGTCAGACATTATTTTACCTTGAGCAGCTGCGATTTGGTTCTGCGGGGGGACACAGTGAAGGGGATGTCCAACACTGACATATCACCCACAGGCCTGACTGTCACCCGTTCAGCCGGCGTGTGTGGCCTACGTGTGGGTGACAGGGTTCGGCTGGTGCCGGGTGGGGGCCCTGGCGGAGGGATGTCTGCAGATGAAGGTGGTACCGACACGCAGCGGGGAGGCCCCTCTGACCTGGGAGCTGAGGAGGAGGGAGGCACAGTGGATGGGGGTCGGGGGCCAAATGGGTACTCTGGGGCCGGAGTGTAAAGTGGCGCTGTGGGGCTCCCGTGACGGAACTGGTGTCGCTGCTGCCACTCGTACAGCTGCCAGACTGTGTTGGACCCTGGACCCCCCTGATCTGGGGTGAGACGGAAGTGGCTCAGGCGGTCCTGGGCGTACTTGTACTCGCCGAGTCGGCCGGGCGAGGGACTCTGGCGAGGAGTTTTTGGCAGGGTCTGATAGGCGTCAATGGAGGTGAATTTGTGCTGGGTTGGTGGCGTGCGGCGAGGGAGGGTGTTCTCTCTGGATGGGGGGCTGTTGAGTAGCAACAGTAGCACAATTGGGGTTATTTTCACACGCAATAAACAAAAAAACCTACAGTCATTTTCTATGACCTTAGTTAACATAAATCTGTAATAACTGATGTTTTTTGGTCACTTTATTCGGGGCACACGTTCAAGACAACATCCTCATATCATCACCTCTTAAAGTGACACGGAAAACTTGTCATAAACACGTTTACACATGCAGCACAAGCACTTGTAGCGAAGTGCCACAATACTCTCTTTTAACTCTGTTATTGGTCTCTTCCAACTTCAGAGAAAAATATCAGGCTCTTGAGTTGCTAAATGCTCCACTATGTTCACCAGCTGGTTTCTTAATGTCTGTCTGTCACTTGATGCTGAGTAGGTAGTGTACACAGAGGTTTTTTTGTTGACAACAGCAGCCTTCTGCAGACAAAAATGCTGCTAGAGAACTGTAAAGCTGCAGCTGAACAGCACAACAAAGTGAAAACTTATTACAAAGCTCCGTAAAGCCAAGCAGAGCTGCAGATTCAGGTAATAATTCTCTGCAGTTCAAAATCAGGCTATAAAACCGTTTACTTCAACAAAAATACTGAATAAACAGCTGTTAAAATTTTGAAATTGGTTAAGTTTATATATTATAAACAGTACTAACTAGCTTCTCACAAAATAAGACAATCACCTGATTTAAATAAGTGAGGCTTTTTTAAAGAGCCTCTAATATCCAACAGTGACTTACCCTTTATGCTCAGCCTTCTGAACTTTGACCCACTGTTCCACCTGATCCAGAACACTTCTCCTGTGCACCTGCTTTTCTGGGTCTGCAGCCGGCAGCTCCGGGGCCCTCTGGTACGTCCCGGCTGCGATCCCATTGGGCTCCAGGATGGGGCTTGGCGTGGAGACCAGGCCGTTCCTCGTGCAAATGCTGGAGGGCAAAGTGGAGGCTGCTCGTGACGGCGCGCGGGATGGTACCCTGGATACGGGTGCTGAGGCCGACACATGGTCTGAGTGTGGGAGAGCGGAGGGTGGAGGATTGGATGGGAGGGAAGTGTGTGTGTCCATTTCCAGACCAGTGCTCCCAATGGGGTGCTCCAACATGATGGTGCCAGGAGAGTCCTTGTGAAAGCTGCAGCGGCCCTCAGCGTCGCGGTGTATGGGCTCCAGGAGAACCTCGTGGATGATGGGTCTTGTGGTCTCAGAGTCTGAAGTCTTGGTCTTGTGGTGGTTTATGTGGTTTGTCTGGGGGACAGCCTGCTGCAACAACTTCTCTAACTTGTCAGCTGGTCTGTAGAGAGCAGAGATTGCAAACGTCTGAATAAACAATGTCCTTTTTTTTTTTTTTTTACACTCTTTCTCGTTAACATTGTGAGAATTGCAGATGATGATTAACTACAGCAGTTCTCCTGATACCTATTTTTTTCCTCCAGACTTCTCAAAAGGATTTCAGTGCCTTTGACTCGTTAAGAACCATTTCAGCTTCATTTGATCGCTTCACTGATATCCCATGGACATCATGTTCCAACAGTTCAGTCATTTTAGGCTTTGTTCTGTTGGGTTGAACTGAATTTGAACTAGATGATGGCTGTCACATGAAAAAGAAACTTTAGCCTCATTCCCAACTTTAAGGACAGGGCAAAACAAACCACTAGGGCCGCTTTAAAGCAGGAAAGATGACAAGCAAAGCCTTGTAACCACAACTCGATTTTAAACTCATTAAAGAAATCTCATGTGACAAGAAGTATTCAACCAAGAGAAATAGTCAGGTCTCTGACATTCATTGAACCACACACCAAAGTTTACTTTTAAAAGATGAATTGGACAGCCTTAGGGGGCCGCCATTGTCCCCCGCCAGCAGCGGATATCTCAAAATATTCAACATAAATTAGAATTACAGTGACTAGTCTGTCCCCATTAGGTTGTTCTAAATGTGTCATACGAGTAATATCTTATTTTAAGAGTAGTGTGTTAACAGCAACTGTGTATTAAAAAACTGCATACAGTAAAAGTAGCTCTTGTTCGACATGCCAGCAAATAGTAGAACTACTGTTATAGTTTCTACAAAGATGGCCTGAGAGCCACCTTACCAACTGTAAGCTGTCTTCAGCTTGGTTCCCTTTCTGTCACTCGTTAACAACTATTGTAATCTTGTGGGATTTCCCTTCCCAAAAACAAAATAATGAAAATGAAGGGGTTGCGAGCGGCGGGTGTCTCAGGCTGCCAGTGAATGATGGGACGTATTTGATCTGTGCCCCCTACCCTCGTCAACACATGAATAATACATGGAGGAAGCTGCTGCTCGTTCAAAAACACCCATTTCACAACACTGGAATGTACTCTTTGAAACCAGCCAAGCACATAAACAAATACACTGCACTCATATGCTAAAGCAAGAGGACAGCGGAGTGGGATGTTCATCCTGCCATTTAACGTGATGTAAGAAACATTCAAATAGCAACACTTCACTGAAGGCATATATTTATAGAATACAACAACTGTAGTTATCACATTCAGTACATGCTGTTTTTGGGATCAAGAATTCAGCAATTTAAAAACACATTGTCAAATATTTAGAGGTTCTGCTGCAGACAAACACTTGACGGACTACATCAACATTTTACAGTCCTTAGAAGGTTCGTGAACTGGATTGCTACAATCCAATAACATTTTTTTCTGTGTGTTTTTTTTTTTTTATTATCATAAGATCAAAAAAGAAGATCTCTGGGAAGTATTGTGAAAAATCTCCATAGCTCGAAGTGATGGAAAATAAACCTTTTAAGGTACAATATTAACATTAAGCCTCTGAACCCCAAATCCCGCTGACAGGTTTCAAAGGCATGCTGGGCTTAAAAGAATCACCAAAATTACACCATTTACACAATTACTTTCTGACAGTCCTTCAACTACACATCTGTGACACGTGACTCTGTCAGGAAACTAAATTAAAGTTTAAAATTGCGATATCTCATCAAAATCACGATATTCTACATGTCTTCTTTTAAAGAACTCCTCCAAGATAAACCATTTGCTCAAATCAGATTCTTTAAAAAAAAACAAAAAATTCTGCGCAACTCGGAATCGATGAGTAATTCAGCAGTGACCGGACAAAAATTAAGGGACTTTTCAGTTGGACTGGGTTGAACTGCAGGCTGTGTTTACACAGATGGGACACAAGTATGTAAAGAAATAATGTAAGTGGCAAAATATCAATTTTAGTATGTAGAGCCCCTATCTTTTCCAGCATCTGAGGGAGGGTTATAACTATATCATACTGCTCAAAGAATCCTTTTTGACACTGAGAAATGGCTGTGCTGTTTCTACAGCGATGTAGGATTTTATATAGCAGTGACAAATGAGCCGACAGTGAGTAGAATTTGTCAGGAGCAAGAGGCCCAAAAACTGTCCAGGGTTCAGAGTTGAGGGTGGAATGAAGTGAATGTGAAGTTATGTGTGTTGGTTTCTAGTTATTCTAGATGTTTGTACTGTTGTTCTAGTGTTAAACATCTAGCCTTGACTGTGTTTAGTGTGTAGTCCATGTTTAAATGAACTACAGATTAGAGTAAATAATAATTATGGAACAAAAATGAACAAATGAACAAAAAATGCTAGCAGCAAACACAAGGGGGAGCTCATGGTGTAAACTGGAAAAATCAATGTTTTATCAATGCAACAAAAAAGCAATGATCTGGAAATGTTTGTTCTGACTTAACTTTACAGTTTTCAGGTTTTTTGTTAAACAGAGTTTAGTGACTGAATGTGCTCTTATATTCATATAGACCTCGAGTTTGAAGCTGGAATTCTACAGCTGTCTAGTTTATGGAAATGAATGCTGGCCAGTTGTATTTACATGTGCTGTGTGTGTGTGTGTGTGTGTGTGTGTTTGTGTAGCCCTACCTGATGAGTGTGTCTCCATGGTTCTGCATCAGCGCCGCCTGGTTCATGGCTCTCAGCCAGGTGTTCATGTCCTCTTGGGTGTCTGCACTGAAGTAATACGTCCGCATGCCAGTGTGCTCCGCCTGCGAGCCAATCACAGAGCTCTGCTTGTAAATGTACGAGCGCATACCAGTGTGGCTAGCCTATAAAAAGAGAAAGGAGATTCGATCAGGTGGTGGTCAGAGATGCACAGAAATCATCTGAGAGACAGTGTGTTAGATGAGCTTCAGCTTTGACCAAAGAGACAGGGCGATATCATGCTGTCCAACAAGAGCAACAACATCAAGCACCAACCAATACAGAAAGAGCCAATGGAGGGAGCCACACAGTAGAAATACAAAGACAATATAACCAGCCAGATACGACCAACATAGCCACAACTTTTGACCAATGAGAGGAAAGATAGTTTGGTATGATGGAAAATAGAAAATGTGTCAGAAAAAAGAACTCCTAACCAAAACTTTCCTCATGATCCTGTCTGCTGTTGTTTGTTTTTTCCCTGCCTGCTATTCCTGCTTTGAAACCTACTAAGAACATGTAAAAAAAAAAAAAAGAAAAAAAAAACACAGCAGCAAAATCATATTTTTTGTATACAGTGTTTGTTATATTATCAAGTTCCTATCTCCAAAAAATAGGTAAGTAACATGAATCACAGTGGCGTGGACAACAGTCGGTGTGTCAAAGAGGCTGACAGGTACTTGTACTTGTGATTTAGGGGGTGAGCTAATGACAGATCTATTCAAACTTAAGGTAGATATTGCTTCGTATGCACATGGAAAATGGCTTATTCACAAGCTTAAATTAGAGAATGTACATCACCAATCTGTCTTCTGTACATTGCAACTCTTCTTTAATACTTTAATGATGTATTCATGAGTTTAACATGAATGAATAAATGTAATATGTTTAATGTGATTGTGTCATCGTTTCACTCAACACTCATTAACCTCATTTCCAGTTGCAGCAGGCTATTGTTTTTAGCAAAAAAGCTCTGATACACCCAGTGTGTACAACATAACAAGCACTAAACAGCCAAGTTAGCAGCTACCCGATAAACATAGTGAAGCATTTAGCAGCTTAACAGTATATTTCTCTAAAATGTTACCAAGAACTAGGCAGTCACAACATCAAGTTTTTTGATTAAGTTAAATAAGTTTCTTTTACCACACAATTATCATGGCCAAGAGAATTCATGATAACATTATTACAGCATTTATTAAGAAAATTGTGAAAAAAGCAACAAATACTATTAATCAAATTCACCTTTAACTTTGTTTATTGTATTATTTTGTCTCTTTTGGCAAATGAACTACACTCAAAATATGAGTTTAAGGAGGTAGATAGAGTCTGTAACTATAACTGTACTGTTTGTTGCTCTTATGCTCAAGCATCAACCACATAGTTACATATGTCCATTCTCATTTTAAACATTACAGTTATCTGCAGTAATGATACATCACAGTATCCTTAGGATCACAACAGAGCTAAAAGAAGAGCAATAATTGGGTGTTTTTCAATACGTTGGCCAGAAACATTTCTCTAATTGAATGCTCGTCCAGTAAATAACAAAGTTTGCAGACAACTTTGCTGTAACAACTATGTCGGGTGATATTATGTCCGTTCTGTGTTTTCAGCTCACTCCACTGCCGCAAGTGGCCCCTAAAGTTCATTTGATGCAGCTCTCCAATCTTTTTCAGTGCCCACAGATTTTTTCCACCCTTTCTCAGAACACCTCTTCCTGCACCTCAGAGAACAAATGAGGAGTAGTTAAACTCAAAAAATAATTCTGTTTGTGTAGGTGGAGACAGCAGTAACACCAGCAGCAGCACAGTAATTCTAAGGAGGGAGTTTTTTCCAGCCAAAGTAAAAACGAGAGCTGTTTCTTTTTTGAAACAAGTCTCTGGCTGCACTGCGTTATGAACTACCTGGAATACCGTCAGTATGGAAGTTGGTATCTCTGCCTCTCCTACTATAGATTTATGCTTCAAAGTGTGTTGAACCATGAAAGTCCAGAGAAAAGATAAGTCTCAGCTATCGATAAGTCTTTTGTTGGATAATCCACATAATCAGACTATTAAACAACCAAACTAACCCCTAACAGTTTACCAGTAACAGTTGCTTGTTAATTAATAGCACCTAACTGTTTTGTAGCCTTAATAAAGATGGCCTTGTTGTCCACGTGGGGTTATTAGAGCTCCTTTTAAAGTGAGCTGCACTCCATTGAGCACAGCTCTATAAATGTCCTACTTTTCCCTTTCCTTCCTTCCTCCCTTCCTTTCTTCAGTGTTCCAGGAGTTGGGACTGGAGGATAAATGAGAGCACCCACTCAACAACAGATGCATGTAAATGAAAAGTAATTAAACACTGAATCTCTCCTACCCTAATTCATTCTCTGAATAATGAATGCGGGACAGTAAGGCTGTATGGAGTGTTGTGGTGAGATCCACTGTGGCTGCAGCTCAATAATTTCTCTGCAATTTCTTTGTTTGGTTTATAATGTGATAAAGAGACATGATTTCTCAGCAGCTTGGCTTCTTGTCTTTGGCGTGACAGTCAGGACCACACAAAACATCACTCCCATTTAAGCAGTTTAATGTACACACTGAACACGTTCATGGATAAAACAGACTGTCACTCCTGCTGTTCTATCCCTGTTACTATAAACTCTGAATAAACCCTGGAAAACAGATACAGACATGCACACAAACAACATGATAATTCACCTCCCCTCTGAAAACACTGCTGTCTGGCTGGTGAAACAACCTCATTTTAGTGTCTGCAGCTGAGCATTAATAAAATGGCTTCAAATAAAATCCCTTTACTCACTGTGTTAGTGCTTATTTTAAGATCTGGGAGCTGATTGCGTCGTTCACTTGATTTGCCCAGGACTCAATAACCTGGCAAGTGCACAAGCTCTTTCATGATGTCCAAGTAGTCGCGTAGAAGAGAGGAGTATTATCATGAATGCAATGGAAAACTTTTACTTACAATATGTGGAGGTGGGAAAGGCTGATAATATCCTCAGTAATGGTGTTCGCTGTTAAAGGAGCCTATTTCAGTGTAATGATTGGTGGCAAAACTTTACATTTAAGGGCAACAGTGATGCTGGTTTTCCATTTTCTATGCCAATTCACTTTATTTAAATGCACTACGTGAGCACATAATCATAAACCGGGTTTCTATTCCAACCAAGCAATGCAAGGATTCCACTGATTAGATCATTTTACAGCTTTAATGATGAATAGGATAGCTGATGAAAAGAAAACTTAGAGAGATTTTTTGTTCATGTGCTTTTATTCTGGTCTATACGGATAAAAAATAATGAAAACACATTTAGCGTGACCAATGATTAAAATAACGGTAATGGCCACCCTAGTTTATCTGTTGTAACCCTACCAACACTGTAACTACTGCAAAGCCTTTGAATGTACTTAAAAACATCTTATGCTATGATTAAAAATGCGACATCTATGTATTCTACTACAGTATATAAAATTCACCTAAAATATGCTTAAAGAAACTTAAGTACCCAAGTATTAATACTTAACATGAATACCTAAAATGTGTACACTGCAGATAAAAGCTTGTTTTCACTCACACTACACTGATAAGTCATCAGTGTCATGTTTTTTTTTTTTTTTACCTTACTTAAACCGACAACCTGGTTTAGAAGCTCTGGCTGAAGCTACATATCCAATAAGATAACGTCACAGAGTGACTTGTTCTCAAAGCCTTTATTTAACAGCGGTCTAAAATCAATTCTATTTGGAGATTTCCAACCCTACACCATACATTATGGCTATATGTCCAGCAATCACACGTTGTCAGAGCACAGTGTTCAGTGGACACTTTCAATTATGATCCTGTCTTCTTGATGACTTTCTCATGAGTAAAGTCATCTGGGGTGTCTGGTTGAAATAAAAACTCTGCAGCCACAATGCTACCCAAAGGAAAACCACAGCTGTGACCCGTACGCAGGACTCAGTCAGCCTGTCACTGTCATAAACGCAGACGTGCTAAGGTACACCAGAGGGCAAAAAACAGGGAGGGAAACTAGTTAGCAGCTACTCAGCTTAAAAAGTGAATACTAGATGTGTCCAAAAAACCTCCTAAATATCTTGACAAAAGCAACACAGCATCCTCAGGAAACAGCTGTCAAAACACGCCTGTTCACTCACCATCAGCACTCTGACAGATGGCCTCTTACAGCTACAATGGGACAGGCGCTTGATGAGAGACGTGATGAGGACTGCGCCGCGAGTCAGATGTTTGGGCACGTGCAGGGATACTGGCATGCAGCGAGCACACACACAGTCCAGCGGCATAGACACATGTTTGTACTTTAATATGTTGCACAAACAGAATTCAAAATCCAATCTGAATCACAAAAAACTTTTACCAAAGCCTAAACCTACCTCTAATCCCAACCCTAATTCCAAATCCTACCCCCACTGTGTTTTGTACTGAGGAATGAACAAAAACGACTTTATTTTGTAGACAATGTTGTCACCCGTGCAGCCTCTAGCAGACTGTACTCATATTCAAAAGCCCTGTCGATTACCATCTCAAAACAACAGCCTCAAATGATCCTCATTTTAGCAACATGAGAACACACAGACACACACACAATGAGGACACAACGCAACACACACCAGCATTGGTTTAAAATAACACTGGGAGTCTCTGCCTCTCTTCAGCAGGAATGCTGAGTGGGTCATTCAGCTCTGAGAGCACGACCAACACACCTACACACTGAATCCACTACACAGCTAAGCCTCTTTTTCTCCCTCTTGTTTGTGTCTGTGTGGGAGTTGGTGGCAGTTTTAAGGGTATTTCTGATTATTTGTTTCCTCCTCTATGTTGCTTTATGAAAAAAAAAATCCCTTTTTTTCTCACCATTTCCTCCTGCCCTCTATTTCACAGCGACCAGCAGCCATCCCTTCCCGCCACTCCACCTCCTCTCCTATCGCTTCCTCCGTTTATATGCCCTGTATTTTCCAGTCTGAATCACTTCCTTCCCTTTCTCTGTTCTGTCTCCTTCAGCCTGAAAATATCACTCATACCTTGCACTCACAAAAGCTCACAATAGTGCTGCCCCATTCCTGTGGACAGCCCCGAACAAACAGGCACTCTGTCTTTGTCC